CCTTCCTTTCTAATGTCTTCTGTCTGCACTGGTTCGTCCAAAACACGAAGGTCCTTTTGAATCTCAGAGTTGTACAGTTCTTCACAGTACTCTTTCCATCTTGAAATTGCGTCCTCCTTCGTTAGCAGATTACCATCTTTGTCTTCAATCGAACTTGCAGGTTTCCTTTTGGTTTCATCCAATTCTGTACTGCATAACTTCTTTACTACTTCGTAGGCCACCTTAGAGTTGTTTCGGTTTAGACTGTCCTCTATCTCTTCCGCTTGCCTCTCTATCCAGTTGTTCTTAGCTTTAACTAGTGCCTTTCTCACCTTCTTGCTTGCCAATCTGTATTCGTCCAATTCTGTGGCACCAAGTTTTCGCCTTTTCTTCTTCTCTCGTCGTTCATCACATTTCTCAATTAACTCCTTTGTCATCCATGGTTTCTTGATTTTCTTAGCCTTCCCCAATGTCTCTTCTGCAACATTTTCCATGATGTTAGTGAAGTCCTCACAAAGCGACTGTGGATCTTGGTCTAACAGCAACAGTGGAGCAGATCAACCAGCTAGATTTTCCTGATATTTCTCTGCTTTTAAAGAATCTTTTAGCTTCTCCAGATCAAAGTGTATTCTCTTTCCATTATTCTTCCTGTTCACTTTCAGCTTGGTTCTCAATGTCATCATCACCAAGTCGTGGTTTGTTGAAAGTTCTCATTCTTGCCCTGTTATCTCCAGTTACAAAACTTCTTAAGATGAAGATGTAATCTATCTGGTTGTGAACCTTTCCATCTGGTGAGTGCCATGTTGCCTTCCTTGATGTCTTGTGATTGAATAGAGTATTTATAGCTGTCAACTGATATCTTTTTGCAAATTCTAGCAATTTCTGTTCGCGATCATTTATTTTTCCCATACCAAATCTTCCAACTGTCCCCCTCAATCCGTCAAAAGCATCGTTCCCAATCTTAGTGTTCCAGTCTCTTTGTACCACACATATGTCTTTCCTATGGATCATCCTTATTAATTTCTCCAGGTCTTCATAGAATTCTTCAATACTTTCCTCAGAGCAGTCGCTTGTGGGAGCATACACTTGGATTATAGTTATGTTGAAGGGATCTCCTGCAATTCTGGCAGCCGCAATTCTCTCACTGACCGGTGTGAACTCCATCAATGACTTACTGATTTCTTTGTTGACTAAAAATCCAACGCCATGCACATGTTGCTTCTCATTTCCACTTTACCAGATTTTGTGACCATCTTCAGTTGTCCCTTCACCAATTCCCTTCCATCTCATTTCAGAAATTCCAATTATATGCCAGTCCAATTCGTCTATTTTTTGGACACTTCCATTTTCCCCCATTGTCGCAATGATCTCACATTCCAGGTACCAATGATAGTTTCAACCTTTGCAACATTCCTCCTTTTTCCCCGTTCATCTCCAGTAGTACATTTGTCACTACCTTCCCTGGAGGGTCCAGAAGGCAGCGCGGCCGCTTTATATATGTATATATATAAAGGTATATATATATATAAATATCGGTATATGTAGGTATATATATACATACATATATTTATATATATATATATATATATATATATATATATATATATATATATATATATATAGGGTATATATATATAGGGTACATATATATTTGTAGGTATATATATATATATATATATATATATATATATATATATATATATATATACATATATAGATATATATATTTATAGGTATATATATACATAGGTATATATATTGGTATATATATATATATATATATATATATATATATATATATATATATATAAATATAAATATATATATATATATATATATATATATATATATATATATATATATATATGTACATATACATATATATATATATATATATATATATATATATATATATATATATATATATATATATATATATATAGGTGCATTTACATAGATATATATAAATACACCTAGGTGCATGCATAGGCATATGTACATATGTATATATATATATATATATATATATATATATATATATATATATATATATATATATATATATACATGTATATATATATATACATGTATATATATATATATATATATATATATATATATATATATATATATATATATATATATATACATGTATATATATATATATATATATATATATATATATATATATATATATATATATATATATATTATATATGTACATATATATAGGTATATATAATTATAGGTATATAAGTATATATATATATATTTATATATATATATATTTATATATATATATTTGTATATATATATAATATATATATATTCATATTTATACGTATATATGAATATAGGTATATATGTACATCCGGGAATAAGATATGATACGAGAGAAGAAGCAGCCCGAAAACAACCCTAACAGTGCTGTGTATCGCATACCCTGTAGCAGCATACTTTGGTGAAACAGGCCGTGGTTTCAGCACCAGGATCAGCGAACACCGAGCTGACATCCGTCACCATAGGACTTCCAACGCCATGGTGATCCATGTAGATGAAGCTGGACATCTACCCAATTGGAAAGAACCGAAAATAGTCCATGGAGGACTGAACAGGCAGAGAAGAAAAATTATTGAAGCTGCCTACATCGCGACGGAGAATAACATCAACGCAGCATCGGGCAGATTCAAAGTATCCAAGGTTGCGGCAAGGTGGTTCGTCAGCTCATGTATATATATATATATATATATATATATATATATATATATATATACATATATATATACATATATATATATATATACATATATATATATATATATATATATATATATATATATATATATATATTTTTTTTTTTTTTTTTTTTTTTTTTTTTTTTTTTTAACAGCCATTCATTCCACTGCAGGACATAGGCCTCTCTCAATTCATATATATATATATATATATATATATATATATATATATATATATATATATATATATATATATATATATGTATATATGTATATGTATATATATAGGTGTATATATATATATATATATATATATATATATATATATATATATATATATACATATATACATACACACACCTAGGTGTATATATAATAACAATAATAATAAATATATATGAAAATATTTATGCATATGTATACACATACACATAGGTATATATATATACATATATACATATATATCCCAATGGTGCCGGGGAAAATGAAAAAAAAGGGGAAAATATTGTGCCCACTTTCTATGTTTTTTCGTGAAATGTCTGCCGATAGATGGCTCTGCTAAATATATATACCTATATGTACATATATACCTATATATATCTATATCTACATACCTATATATATATATATATACCTATATATATGCATATATATATATATATATATATATATATATATATATATATATATATATATATATATATATATACATATTTGCCTATATATATAAATTATATATATACACATACATATATATATATATATATATATATATATATATATATATATATATATATATATATATATATATATACCTATATATACACACACACCTATATACATACCTATATGATATATTATATATATATATATATATATATATATATATATATATATATATATACCTATATATATACCTATATAAATATATACTTTTATATATGTGCAGATGCGAAATTATACTTCAGTACACTTGCTGCGAGCTATTTCCATGTCAACATAGAGTAAAAAGTATTTTTATGAATGATTCTAAAGCCCTAGGTGGTTTATAAGAAAGTGTGTGATTAGTTGATTATAAAAGACCAAGTGTATTTATATCTAATTTTGGAAGCTACGTAAGCCATTTCATCGTTCATTTTCTTTAAACAATTGATAACAAAACATGTAGTATTAGTATTAGACTTTGTAATGTGATTTCCTGGCATTGTTTGTTTATTGAAATGGCAACACCTATGTAGGTGAGGCGGCATTTTCCCATTCTTTCAACACAGCAAGTGTCAATTATAGATGCATATTTCTTAAAACTTGAAAATGCTTCAGGCTTTAAAAATCTATATATAGCATCTGTATCATATAAAAAATTCTTTTTTGCCTGAACTAAACACTAAAACACTAATTCAGTTAACAAAAGCATGCTACATGATATTTTCCATTAAAGAACGCAAAACCGCAGAAGGGCTGCAATAAATATGTAGATATTTTCACTGTGTGTATGTGCGTGTGCGTCTTTGTGAAATGTTTATAGAAATGCAGTCAATATTTGGTGATGAGTAGCTAAACAGTATGTATAATTCTTTTCGCTTATTTTTAATGCCTTTTATCTTGTGCTAAAATCTGACCATAATTTTCGCTGTTATTATCGCATTCGATCAGCTGAGCAAGAAAATACAGATTTGCTTGTTTCAACTCGAGCAAAACTTTGCTACATAATCTTAATATGTTTACGACAGAAACACTTATTTCCCGGGGTGTGAAAAGCCATCTAAACGCTTGTTTGTCCATCTAGAACTTTGTTTGAAAAAAGAGGAACCATCTGGAAAATAAAAAACACGAAATCGTATATGTGATACTTTTTATGATGATGATTCTTCAGTACATTCTTTGATTTCGCGGCTAATCCCAAGAAAGAAAATATGTCCGATGGTATATGGCGTCATAATGACAAGGGAAATCCGAGGTGAGAACGAGGCTGCCAAGCTGACACTTTTTTCAAGATGGACGCAAGGCAATCTAAAATTATAAATTGAGGCCGCATCACTGGGATGAGGGAAAGCAATTTCTCTCCCAGTGAAATAACCAGAGAGCCGAGCATCTCCGCTTGAACAACGACATTGCCAACATCGCCCCCAGTTCGCCCAGCAGTATGTGGAGAGCGCAGCGAAGCTCCATTGCTGGATTAGAAATAACAGGTGTAAATATCTTTATCCTTTTTCAATATGTTCATAGACTTAATTCAGATTTTCATAAAGATATATGTTTATACATGATAATGCCCTACACTATTTA